GTTTTTAATTTGCATCTCACTGATGGCTACTGAGCATCCTTTCATATGTCTCCGGGCCCTCTGTATGTCCTCCTTGGAGAAGTGCTTATTCAGGTCCTTTGCCCATTTTTTAATTGGATTGTTTGTCTTCCTGGAGTAGAGTCATGTGAGTTCTTTATATATTTTGGAGATCAAACCCTTGTCTGAGGCATCATTGGCAAATATATTTTCACATACAGTTGGTTCCCTCAAGGATGAATAGTTTGAAGTTACAATTTCCTTAGACTGCTTTTTATGTTTACACCCTAACTTTGACACTTGTATGTTATAAATTATTTTTAGTTATTTTCAAAGCATTATTTATTTTTGGCTTAAAAAGATCTAAGTATTTGCTTTGAGTTCCTTTTTGGTTTGTACTTGGGTCAGTACTTGTGTGTGTATGTGTTTATATATGATATATTCATATATGTGTATATGCATATGTATAAATAAATTGCAGCATGATTCCTAAATTACAAGCTCAGTATTTTTGCTTGCTTTCCACTTCAGGAGATTTAAAGAAAGCCTCCCCAGTATCCTGCCCTTGCCTTCAGTGGTGTCACATGTTCAAGCCACAAGGGGAAAGAAAGCCCAATGCATCCATATCTTGATGTCTCTTTCTCTACCTTTATTTTCACATCTGTCTGCCAACCAAGTCTCTCTTGCCCCCAACACACACTCACCAGTGTACCTTTTCCTGCCTCTTCTCAATCTTTCTCTGTATCTGTGTTTATCTGTCTGTTGGTCTCCCTTTTGCTAGAGTCACTCAAAGTGCCCTCCTCATTCAGGGACAAGAGTGTGCTTACAAGAGTGTGCTTTGTCTGGACCTGCTCCAGACCCTGGAGAAAGGAGTGCTTTGAAAGTTCAATTTTGACTCCTTACCAAGCCACATTGCAGTTATGCTTAGCATCTGGCCACCAGTTTGTCCACTTAATATAAGGTCCCTAGCCCTACCTATAATGTACCAATTTCACTTTTGATCTAGAACCATAACACTGTTTTAAGCTGGAAGTCCAATTTAAAATCTTTCATGAAAAATAAGGACCCACAGTGAAAACCATGAAAAGAGGCCAACTCAGCTATAATTGAATTGGTTTTTCCTCTTTGGTTTCTCACAGAGGGAAAGCCACATGGTGCCCTTTCCAGAGAATAAGTTACCAGACTATGATGTGAAGGAACAACTCACTTCAGCAACATGACAAGGATTTATTTGAGCTGGCATGTTTCAGCCAGAATCTCAGATACATACACACACACACACACACACACACCCACACGCCTGTTTCAAATTTTAGTAACAAAGAATTTCACATGATAGATTGCCATTCTCAGTTTTTAAATAGTTTTTATTGTTGAAGTAGAAAATACAATTTTTTGGAAATGTTATTGATATATCAGCTGACTTATAATATTAGGAAGCTTTGAATCTTGATTTTGTAATGTGAAACCCCATTTCAGGAATTAAACAAGAAAAGAATTAACTAAAGAAAATGAGGAGAATGGACTATAGTAGGAATAGAAAATTGAAAGGACAAGCTTGGTGTTATATTTGGTTATGATATAACACAACACACATTCCTTAAAAATTACTGTACTATGTAGAATTCCGCACTAAAAACCACATCAGACTCATTGAGGAAATTAGATGATGGGCACAGTACTCAAAAAATTCTTCAATGAGCTTTAGCCAGGTGAATTAGTTGGTTGGAGCATCGTCCCATACACCAGAAGGTTACGGGTTCCATACCCAGTCAGGGTGGGTACAGGAAGCAACCAGTCGTCCTTTCTATCTCACATTGATGTTTCTCTTTGTGTGTGTGTGTGTGTGTGTGTGTGTGTGTGTGTGTCTCTCTCTCTCTCTCTCTCTCATATGCACATGCTCTTTCTACCCTCCCTTCCTCTCTCTCTGTCTAAAATCAATAAGCATATCCTCCAGTGAGGATTTAAAGAAAAAAAAACTTCTTCAGTGATACACAGAAAAAAATAGGAACCTAACAAAAATGATAGTATAATTTTATATAGATTAAATGGTTAAAAAATACATAAATACTAAATATGACAGTTTTCCTTGAAAATAACCTGACATTTGCTTCTAGAAGTAGGTGTCAGGAGGATTACAGCTTGTGAGCTATTGTGTCATGGTGATAGGAAGGTGCTCTGAAATCAGTGGAAGGTTGTAGCACCAGATGTGGTTGAGTGTGGCTCCTCACATCTGTGGTGACCTGAGGAGAATGGTGAGTGTGGGGGACATTTGTCTTTACCACGAGGTTTAGTTCAGCCACATACAGGTTTCTGCATTCATCTAGTGCTTCTTGAAGATGAAATCTTACAAAAGCAAATGCAAAATTTCATTATACTTAAATTGTTTTTTTAGTGTATTAGTGGTCTTGGAATAAATTTATATCCTCAAAACAAGCATTGTATCAGAACTGACTTATTCAATTAGATTAAGAATTTTATTTACATCATTTGATATCAAGAGAAAATATATCACATTTACTGGAGATATTGCCTGAGAATTCTGATGCCCAGAGGATAGTAAAAAGAGCTTACTTCCTTAAAGTCCAAGTTCTGTTTGGATTTTTCCCCCTCTGCACACCACAGACATAGTATTATTCCTTTAGTATACCGTCACTGGGATACACAATACGATTGAGATTATATATATATCTCTCAGAAAAATAGGTATGGCAAGCTTACCAGACCTTTTGTTTTATAGATACTATAGTTTTGGAAAACTATCAAGTGAGGTGTTGTGCTGTATGCTGGGCCATCTGCACATGGGTTAGGGAGCAGTTTCAGGTTGCACCTGTCAGAGAGCTAGGCAATGTTGTGGTGAAGGGATGGGAGAGCGGGAATTACCTGTATAAGAATGTCCTGTCCAAAATACCAATAATGCCCCCATGAGAGACTGGTTAATGTTAGACTAGGGAGGAGTAGAGAACAGTAAGGTTGATCATTTAAGTTAAAATGTTGAGCACAAAGTAGTAGTTTATGTGGCTTTGGTAAGAACAATGAAAGTAGTTTGCAGTTGATAGAAGTTTGAAAATACTGGCTGAGGAACAGTAGCAGCAGTGAGCTTTAACAAACCCTGAAATGTAGTGCCATGTGCCAAGCAGTGGTCTCAGTGCTATGCAGATGTTAACTTAGTCGTGGTTAATGGTGTTTGAGGCATTAGCCTGGTGTAAGGCAGGCTCTCAGTCTTGGCTGCCCTGTTGTGCCCAGGCCACACCCCACACCAGTTCAGTCACAATCTCTGAGAGTGGGACTCAGTCATCAGTATTTTTTTTAAGCTCATTTAGTTATGCCAATGTGTAGCCAAGGTTAAAAACCACTGGTCTAGGACCATTTGAAAATCATTCTTATTCACAAGAAAAGCTGTGTGGATCATGCAGGTGTTAATTGAAGGCCTGTGCTATGCCATCCATGTCTTACAGAGCAAGAGGACTGAGATGTGGCTTAGGGAAGCTTAACCATTTGAGGCAGGCAACAGGATGGAAACAGTTTTACAGTCCTGGCTGGCAAGTCCTCATGACTGAAAGGATATTCAGAGTGCTGGGGATCACAGACAAGAGAGAAACTAAACCTAAAAACCTCGAATGTCAAATTTGGAAAATTATTAAACTTACTATTTTAAGTTTAATAATTTTATTAAACTTTCTTATGCACAATTTTCTTATCAAGAAAGTGGGGACTCAGGTGGAAACAACTGACACTTAAAAGTCACTGTCAATTTAGCCTTTCTAACCTGGTTGTGGCCTTTGTGTGGCCAAGTTGGAGAATTTGAATTTTGACTGTAGATGGCATGATAATTTTGTCCTTGTGTAGAGCAGATTCTTAAGGTACCTCATAAAGAATCATTGAGCTAATGTCCTCCTGGGGACAGCTGTATAGAGAGGCTCAAGACTGGCATAAAAAGACCTTTAGAAATAAACCTTTTAAGTGATGCTTATAGTCTTTGATTCTAATATGCTTAATTTCTCAAATACTCATGGAACTTCCATATTGTGATAGATAAATGTTGGACCACGTACATTTTAAAACTTAGAGTTAAGCAAATGTGTCATTTTAAATTACAAGTTTAAATGAGACAGGCACTAAGCTACCCACCATAAGGTGCTTAAGTAGATAATAGATAATGTTACTAAATAATTTACCTGTTTCCAATGGTAACATTCTTCAACTGCTGTCAATTTATTTAGTACGGATTACCTTACTCTGAGAAAACCTGTTTCTCCATGGGGTAGACTTATTTTCAGTTATACCTGTATAGTTTCTACTTAAGCGTGCATTACTTCCTTGTGTAAAACACCAGCCACAGCTATTTGTGGTGTTTTTGTCTTGTGCCTTTGGCATCTTTGTGATGAGCCAGAGCTATGCCATCTGTAGTTGAGTGACATGATTAAAAAGGGGGGGAGTGAAATGATTCACTGGAAAATTTCAGCACAGATTCTTAAGGAATGATAAGATAACCCTAGAAACATTCTTATTTGGTGTCATATGCTAGTGGGTAGTGACAGAAAAAAAATGAAGGTACAACTTGTTTCTTAACATTTTGCTATTTTGAAAATTGGAGAGGTACTGTGCTAGAAAGGAAGAATGAGTTCAATAAGGTGGTAATTAGCAGAGTTCTGCAGATGAATGAATAATTCTCTCTGACTACAAGTTGGAGCCAGTGAGGTTCATGTGTAAAACCCAGTATTCTCAGGCTTAGAATGGCTATTTAACTTATTAATGGCTATCTGTGAATGATAAAGCTCTTTATGCTGAGATGTTTCCTCAGCAGAAGGATCAGTTCCTGGAATCCTAAATAAGTCTGGGGACTTAGATAAGACCTTTCTGAAAGCTACAGATTTTAATCTATGTTAACTTAGTGAGGCATCTTTGAACTTAAATGTGTTGTATTTCAGGGGACTTTTCCAGAATTCCACTGGAGACTTCCCTGAACCAGTGTCTTTTTTTCTTTTTGTTTTCCTTTTCAGAAAGAAGACATAGCTCATCCAGCAAGCCTTCTTTGGCCGTTCCTCCCACATCAGTATTCTCCTTCTTCCCTTCTCTGTCCAAAAGCAAAGGCAGCAGTGCTGGTGGAAGCAGCCACTGTGCCAGCAGAAGTGTTCTCAGCACATCCTCATTAAGTTCCAAGCTGTTGAAATCGCCCAAAGAGAAACTACAGCTCAGGGGGAACACCAGGCCAATGCATCCCATTCAGCAGAGTAGAGTCCCCCATGCTAGAATGTGAGTATGGCCAAGAGGGTCCGTAATGCTTACCTGATGCAAGTAGAACTGTGCACACCAGTCATCTGAGAGTATTTGAGCATCCTGGGAAAGAAAGCCTACTTTGGGGAGAATTCAGATATATGTGGTTTCTTGTTGTTTCCCTTTCATATCTTGGTCAACTTTACAGAGTAGTAGTTGCATTAATTGTACAGTGAATAACACTTATTTATTGCTCCTTTATTGTGTACCACCTATTAAAACTTAGCTCTATGTGTGTATTGTCATTTAATTATCACAACAACCCTATGAAATAGGTATTGTTGTTATCCCCCTTTTGAGGAGAAGGAAATATAGTAAGGTTGAGGAGATTTCGCTAAGGAGCCCTCATTCAAATCCTGGGTTCAAGTAAATCCCTACTCTGTCACTTGTTGGCTGTGGGGCCTTGGGCATGACACTGTTTTTCTTAAAGTTTAAAAATAACCATTTTGCAGGGTTATTGGGAGCAGTCCGATTAATATATTAGAGCCAAGCGTCTGGCTTAGTGGCTGGCTCACAGGAGAGAGTAAATGGGTGCTGGTGCTTTTGGTAATAGTAGGAATAAAAGAGGAAGAGATTCCCAGATGCTCTACTAGGATTTCCCAGGGCCTACACAACAAATAGGGAAATAGTGCTTCCTCCCCTGGTCCTGGTTCACATCAAAATACTGTGGCGATGAGGGAAGACTGGGGAAGTTCACACCTGCCAGCCGGGCAAGGCTTTGGCAAGTTTCCGTAGTGGACCTGCAGATTGGCAGGCTCCCTATGTCATGTGACGGAGCCACTGTGCATTCCCAGAGAAGCATATATTGCCTTGTCTTGGCATCCCTCAGCCTTCATGGTGGCAGCTTTACCCTGGCTTGCCGCCCTTTGCACAGTATGCCCCATCTCAGTCCCAGGTCTGAGTATCTGGCAAATCTCAGGGCAGCGTCCCCCACCTGCTGCTGCTCAGGGACATGCCAGCTGGGAGTGGCCCTGGCATCTTGCAGTGTCTCTGCTCTGTCAGGCTGTCCCAGGTACAGCTGTTTGGAGCTGTTTGTCCTGGTTGCTAAGCCCCCAGCCTCTGCTTATCTGTCAGAAGTGCAAGGACAGCAAGCTTGGCTTTCGTTCCTAGAGCTGCCTGAAAGCCAAAGAAAATGCCACACAGCGTGTAAGTCACTTGCCAGCTTAACAGCTGTTAGAGCACTGCCTCTACTGAACAGAATTTATAAAACCTCATCAATCCAAATCTTCTTACTTGAAGCTGGGCTCTAGAGGGCGACCAGGCCAACTGTTAGATTCATACCAACATTTGCCACCAAAGTAATCATTACCAGTAAGATGCCAAGAGATCAGTTCTTTGGTAGTAACACAGGTATTTAGTGGTCCCCAGCTGTGTACCAGGCACTAATATTTCAAGTGTCTATATTAGAAACCTTTTTCAGGGACTGCAGAATTATCACTTCAGTGATGCATCATTTACTAATTAAACGTGTTCTTACTAACATGAGCAGAGAGCCTCTTCTTGGAGATACCTTGTTAGGTTTATTTGAGTTCTTGTAAGTCCTTAGTGACATTTCTCAGAAATTTTAATTCCATATTCTCTGCTCACTCAATTTCCTTTGTTTTTATGGATCCTTTTTAAACATGACTGTTCTCAGACATTCTCTACAGGCCCTGCAAGTATCCTTTCATTCTTTTAGACCTTTTCAGATTTTGCTTCTTGTAGGAGTTGCATTGGATATCAGGTCTATATCTCCCATAGGCTCCTGTGTAAAATTGTTCTAGAGTGGTGAAAAAGCAGGTAAATTTGGTGGTTACTGGAGCTCTTTGCCTTGCCAGAAGGACTTATGGACTGAATAAGTGTGCACCTTCCTGAGTTTTCTGAGTAGTCCTAGCAAATTTTCATTATGTGCCTTGGGAGCTTAGCTGTATGCAGTGCACAGGTAGATCCAGGCTCCCTCCCATCTCTCTGGGTTACTGGGGCCTCTGGGCACTTAGGTACTGGTGTTCTTCCCCTACCACAGCATGACGCCCTCTGTTAAAGTGGAGAAAATTCATCCGAAGATGGATGGCACACTACTGAAATCTGCGATAGGGCCAACCTGTCCTGCTACTGTGAGTTCCTCAGTCAAGCCTGGCCTTAACTGCCCCTCAATACCAAAGCCAACCTTGCCTTCACCTGGACAAATTCTGAATGGCAAAGGGCTTCCTATACCGCCCACTCTGGAAAAGAAGTCTGAAGATAATTCTAATAACAGGAAATTTTTAAATAAGAGATTATCAGGTAACTTTACATCTTCTCTTAATGCTTCACTGTGTCTTAATTGGCCTTTCTTAGGAGAGCAAATGTACTGCTATCATTAAGTCTTTTTTTTAAAACTGGTCAACTTCAACTTTAGGAGGAATTTCCTTATAAGTAGTATGCTTGACCTCTTCACTGTTGGTTTTAAAGTGCATGGGTGTGTGGATAATGTAAAAATAGCTTTCGAGTAGTGTATTTCTGAATGGAATAATGCAGTAATACTGACTTTGTCTCTTTCATGTCACCTAGTGGCAGTAATTCCCACTCTTTTAGTGATATTACTGCTTCTTTGCAGTACTCACACATTGTATGTTTAACATTTATTGATAAATGGTAGATTTTATTCAAGTTATAATTTGTTTTAAGATTTCTCCTCTTATTTACAAAATAAGAAAAGGGAATGTTTGGTGAGCCCGTTGTAATGTCTGTGTGCTTTTGACAGAAAGAGAGTTTGATCCTGACATACACTGTGGGGTTATCGATCTCGACACCAAGAAGCCCTGCACCCGATCTTTGACGTGCAAGGTAGGTGACCTTGCTGGACAGAGCTGAATGCTCTGACAAGCTTAGGGAGCTTGGATAGATGGCATTGCTCCCAAGTCTGTAACCCAGAGAGGATCTAATCTTTGGGTTATTCTGAATTTCATAAATAAAGGAATAACTGGGTTTCAATGAGAAAGCCTCAGGTTCAGAAAATGTGAAGTCTGTTGTTATAAACTACAGTCTTCAGAGAGGTTTTATTTCCAGTCAGCTGTGTTGTATCCAGGAGAATAGTGTTCTTCATTTATCAGTATGTTGTTCTCAAAGATTTTTAACATTTCTTCAGAGAAATTTAATATAAGAGGCTACCCTTTAATGTTTAAATTGTACTGACTTAGAACAAGTCCAGGAATTTCCTCTGCAGATATATGAGCAGTCTTAAAATGTTTTTATAATCTGTGGTTCTTAAATTTTAAAGAGCCACTTTAATATTTTGTGGCTTTTACATAGCCTTATTTTTCTAGTTTTGTATTGTTTTTTGTTTTGTTTTGTTTTGTTTTGTTTTAATATTAGGTGCCTTGGCTAGCATGGCTCAGTTGGTTGGGTGTTGTCCTGTAAACCAAAAGCCCGCCTGTTTGATTTCCGGTCAACTCACATGCCTGGGTTTTAGGCTCCATGCTCTGTCCCTGATTGGGGTGCTTGCAGAAGGCAACCAATCAATGTTTCTCTCTCACATTGATATTTCTCTCCCTCTCTTTCTGCCTCCCTTTCCCTCTCTCTAAAATAAAATAAAAATCTTTTAAAAAATTATTAGGTAACGTACAGTATAATTTATCTGTAAGCTAAGAAAATGTAATGATCCTTCTTCCTGTCCTGAGGTTTTCTTATAAAATGGCATTTTGCTAACTAGAAGGGGGTACGTTTGTTATAAAATAAGGGTTGTTCATGTAGGGTGGCTTCCATGCTTCAGTGTACCTGCTGTTCAAACATAAATGAACATGTATGTTTATTTGCATTTCTTTGGAGAGTGTCCCCAAGTACCCTTCAGAAAAATTCAAGAAGTATTAAGAATCATTGTGTTGAAGTATAATTTAAAACTCCTTCTTTGGAGGAGGGGTTAAAAATTATAAAGATCAGTTTTGTCTTCTAAAAGTTAGTAAAATTGTTGAGGTATTATTTAAATTTTACCAACGATTGTGTTTGAATAAAGGACATTAGGCTCCGCTCCACTCCTAAACAGTGGTGGAATATTATTTCCTAGACATGGGAAATGTTACTTCTTAGTGGTTTTTATTTTAATTTAAATTTCTAATTTAATTTTATTATGTAGAGTTTTATCTTATAACAGTGTTCTGATCCTTTGGGAAAGGGGTTGGTCATGGACACTTTTAAATATACCTAATTTTTAAAAAATCATAGGCCTTCATCCCTGAGGGAAAAAAGTATATACATACATGTATATTCTGAATTATGCATTCTTTCTTTTTTTAAACCCAACTTTTTGACACCTCCACTGAGATGTCTCCAAAGTTTACACATCCCAAACTGAACTTTTTATCTCAGAATTTTGCATTCTATTTCAGGATTTGTTGGACATTCCCACTGCAGGCCCACCCCTGAATCTCTAGATTAAAAACTCCTAGCTCAGAACAAATTGTTTTTGTTTTACATAATATTAATTGAACATACATAGTGGTATGTAGTTGTTCTTTGAAGATAGCCATTTGAGCTCTGCAGGATTGTTTCCATGTTAGCTGCCCCTAAGGTACTTGTGAAGGCACCCCTCAGCCCTACTCCATGTCATTGTCATAGTTTGCCATCCACTCTGCTTTCTTACTGCCTACCTGACTCTGAGGAACAGATTTCTCAGTGTTATGATACCTATGGTCAATGAAGGAGGCTTTCTTTTTGCAACATGCTCTTTTTTTAAATCCTCTCTGAGGCATGCTGGTGAACCAAAAGCTTTATCAACTCAGAATATGGAAGGGATTTAACCAGCCTTCTTCCTGAACCTTTATTGATGGGTGAACTGACATAATATGGATCCTGCATTTTTCTCCCATCTTCCTTCTCAAATCATGTATGCCCTCCATGTATTAAGGGTATCAGTACTGTCTGTGATGTGATGCTGATCCTTTCATCACATTGATATCTTCAGCCCTGGTGTGTCATGAGTTCAGCATAGAACTGGCAGAAAATGCAGCATCTTGATAGGCCAGCCCTTTCATAGAATGCCCTTCCTTTCTTCTGTGCTCTATTGGTGGCTCACCCTTTTCTGCCTCTGTGGCCCGAATCTATTTAGCTGTGGTGGGCTAAACATGGCTCAAGTGCCTCACTGAATGTCCCCCACCTTAACTGCCCAGGTCTCTCCTGTCTTGGACTTAGAACATTTTCCATTCTCTTTGCTGTCAGGGGATCTGCTGCTTTACCTCCTATTTCTTGTTCCCTGCCTGTTGTCTGCCTGCCACTTGCACTTTCCCCTCCTTGCTTTCTCATCTGCCCAATGTCCTGTGCCCTCTGTGCCAAAAGATTTTGAGTCCACAAGCCAGAGGTACCAAGGTTTAAAAAATCAGGGCATATTCTCTGCGTTTGTGGGGCTTGCAGTCTAATGAGAGAGATGCAGATTAATCAGATAATCACTCAAATAAGTGTCAAGTTACTGATGATGAGTGAAAAATAGAAGGAGGGCTGTGTTATAACAGCCTTCAATGGGGAGACTGGGCCAGGGAAGCCTCCTTTGCCACAGGAACATGGGGTTAAAACCCATATAATTTATCTGGGCAAAGAGTGGTGGGAGAGACAGAGGAAACAGCTTGTGCAACAGCTCTGTGATGGGCAGACCTTAGGGTGTGAAAGATAGCCAGGGGACTGAACAGAAGGAGGAGGCACTTGACACCAAAGAATGAGTGCATGGCTCAGAAGCCTAGGTACACAGTCTTTATCCTGTAAGCTTTAGGCAGCCACCGAGATTACTAATAGGGGTTGGGGGCATCAGATTTGTGTTTGGAAGGCTCTTTAGCACTCAGTGGAAATATTATATATATTTACTCTTCAAACTGAGCTGGGAAGATATTGATCATCTCTGCCTGATTTTTTTTACCTGGCTTTTCTGTGCTGAGCACCAGGGAGGAGAGGCTTCTACATCTGGCTAGAGAGACAGACAGGTGTACCAGTGATGTTATGCATTCATTTGTTCATTTGACACATGTTGAAGGGCTAGTATTTTTATATATATTTTGTTTGAAGCATTTATTGAATACCAGGTGCTATTCTAATTGCTGGTATAGCACCGAATAAAACAGTTCCTTGTCTTCATTTAATTTACTGTCTTGTAAATAAATATATTACATATTAAAGAAAAGTCAAAATTTAAAAAGAAGCTAAGCATGTTGGCTGTGCCGATTAGATTCTGGGCATATACAGTTTGCATTGTGTCTGAGGAGGAGGTAGGTTATGTTACTGAATTTGAAAAGGACAGTGGAGGCCTGATTCCTCTTAAACCCCTTGAATTTTGGCAAACATGTAAACCTGTGGAACAACACATTAGTATAATGTGTAGATCCATGAATGCACATGATGTATCATTTGTGGTGATTTGTAACATAAAAGAGAGAAGGAAGTATGTGAATGAATTCACTAAATTTGGGGTTCACTGTGCTTTATATTTTTCTCCTGTCAGCCTGTAAGACTTTACTCGGTCCTGGCAGTCCCTGTCTCCAGCTTGCTTTGAGCCACTTCTGTCTTGAAATGGCATTTTCATTGCAGTATAGAGAAACAGTCATGTTTAGTTTTTACTCTGACAGTCACTAAACGAAGACTTTCTGATACATACTTTGTGAAATAATTGTTTCTTCCCTTTAACATTTAAAACTCTGAATGGCACAAAAAGGGATTATTGTAATGGAGTTAGTAAGAGCCCAATAAAGGAATTGTCCTTGTTAGCACCTGCATGTTTCTACGGTTTGTTGCTTGGTGACATATCAGTAGCACAGTGAACATTCCTTTCTTCTGGCAGAAGTAAAATCACCAAGCTATCTTATGTGTGGAACCTGGAATGCATGCCTCTCTTCTAGCGGAAGAAAGAAGATCATACTCTTGTTTTTTAGCTTATCAAACACTGAGCAGCCTTTGACTATGCTAATGGTCTAGCTTGCTTTTTTATTGGAAATGGTGTTTTGGGATATGACAAAAAAAATTATTACTGAGATACCTCAGTTTCTATTTTTTTTTTTTGGTCCACAGACACATTCCTTAACCCAGCGGAGGGCTGTCCAGGGTAGAAGAAAACGATTTGATGTGTTACTTGCCGAGCACAAAAACAAAACCAGGGAAAAGGAATCGATTCGCCATCTGGACTCTCAGCAACCAATGCAGCCTCTCAGGGACCCGCATCCCGCCCCTCCTAGAACTTCACAGGAGCCACACCCAAACTCTCAAGGAGTGATTCCTTCCGAATCAAAGCCTTTTGTAGCTAGTAAACCTAAACCTCACACCCCTAGTCTTCCAAGGTAAGCTGAGTTTTCCAACTCCTTCCCATTCAGAGAACAGATTGGAGACACAGTAAAAGCCTAGTGTGGTCATGATGTCAGGCTCATATGAGAAGATGAGATGTTTTTAAATTGGGTTTTACTCTAAGGAAAAAAAATTGTTGAGTTCATCATTGGGCTCTTCTTGGCCCAATGTAAGCAGCAGAATAAAGCTAGAATTGTCTGCCCCACTCCTGCTCAGTAGTCTGTGTCTCTTAGGCCCACTGAGCAGGGCTGACACTTGGGTCCTGCCTGCAGGTTAGTGACTGGAACGTTTCCCATGGCTTTGGCAGTAATTTCCCATTCATTTATCTTGCTTCCTGCAAAGTGCAGCATGGGAATCCCTTGCTGGGGACAGACATTCTGCCTGAGTTTTTTCAGGTCCGTTTATCAACATGTTTTTTTCATTCATTCATGTAGGTCTTTGGCCTAAACATGTATTAGGGATGTTATCCATGCACTAAGCCATGGATCAGAGTGTTTTATTGCAAACATAACCATACACGTGCCTCAGACACAGTGCTGTTGGCTGCATATACATATGTCTGTGCTTGTGTACTTAACTACGTTGAAGTAAAGGACTTTGTGCCCAATTTGCTGAGGGAAGGAAAAGAGAAAGGCATAGAAAATAAGGCCTCTAGGGGTTGTCCATGGGCAGCAAGAGCTTCTGCTTAGGAATGTGCCAACCCTTGTTGCCATAGTCTCACATTTCGCACTCTCATGTCTGATCCTTGACATTGTTCCATGAGGGGTAGAAGTTCCTCCCCCATGGAAATCCAAATGTGAGCTTGAGCCCATCCCAATACGAACCCTCTGGTTTCTGAGCAACATGGTAGAAGAGCAGTCAAGGAGGCTCCCCAAGAGTGCAGCCAAGCCCCGGCATGATTCCTTAACAAATCCTTTCTTTGGCCATCTTCTCATTGAAGTTTTTCCATCTATAAAAAATGAAATTTAATTCTAGAACCACTAGGCCTATGTATATGGATAAAAAATACATTGCTGTTTCAGATCACTTTTTCACATCAAGTAGCAATGCTACCTAGTTATTTTATCACCTTCTGTCCATCTTAGGTTATTGTAGAGCATTTTGTCAATTATTTCATTCATTGCCTTAGAAACCCAAAGCCAGGTGAAATTTGAAGAGGAATCAAAGAAAGGATTCTCTCAAATTCCATATATATTTTCCCTTCTTTGGGAACACTAGGAGGAGGACCTGAGCCCCCAAGTGGCTGTAGAAAGGAGAGTTAGTTATAAGTCCTCTGGGCTAGACCTGATAGACAGCTGCATTTGACATCTTGCAATTCAGGGGAGAGGATTCTTCACTCTGGGCCACTTGGCTCAGTTTTGCCTAGTGCTAGAGGTGGCCCTAGATCCCTAGGTGGTTTTGGATACATTATTGTATCTGAGTTAAGGTGGCTGATTCCCAGACATGAGATCTGATCAGTGCTGCACTTTCTGCTCACCAAGGCCTCCAGGCTGCCCTGCTCAGCAAGGTGGGAGTGCCCCCATTGACCCTTCTCCAGTCCATGAATCTCCACACCCTCCCCTGCCTGCCACTGAGCCAGCTTCTCGGTTATCCAGTGAGGAGGGAGAAGGCGATGACAAAGAAGAGTCTGTTGAAAAACTGGACTGTCATTATTCAGGTCATCATCCTCAGCCAGCATCTGTAAGTTCCACACCCACCCTGCGTCAACCCTCCCCACACTGCAAGGATAAGACACTGCAGAGGGGCGCACCAGGGGCACTGGCATGCCTATACATTTGGACGTGTTCAAAGTGTGAGATCAGCTCAGCACAGGGTGTCCCAACAGTGGCATGCACTATGTCTGGGGGCATCTCATACTTTTCCCTTTCTCTCTATGAAACTCAGGGCCAGGCATTGTCACTCTCATGCTTCACAGCCTGTGGTACTCAGAGTAAGTTGTCTTTCACAGTAGCTCCATGCCTGAAGGAGAGAGGACCCTTGCTGGGTGTGCTGCTATTGAATTAGCAAGCATGGGCACCTGTGCTCTTTCTTTCAGTTTTGCACATTCGGGAGCCGGCTGATTGGAAGAGGCTATTATGTGTTTGACTCCAGGTGGAACAGGCTTCGCTGTGCCCTCAACCTCATGGTGGAGAAGCATCTGAATGCACAGCTGTGGAAGTGAGTGCCCATCTCACTACTTCTGGGATGGGAGGGGAACTGCTGACTCAGTGCTGCATCCTCTTTATTTCTTATGGGACTAATTTCATGAAGATACGTTTATCCAAATGAAACTGTGGCTTTTGTTAGCCCTGAGAAAAAGGCCCCTCATCATGCATGCATTCACTCTTTCAGCAAATATGTCTCATTCTGGGTGCTGGGATTCCAGGCACAGGTATGGAGCTTACATTCTAGTTGGTGGAAAAACAAAAACCAATAAACAGAAACTAGAGATAGATGATGGTTTGTCCTAAGGGAGATAATGGAAACACTGATAATTACTTACTTAAAGTTTAGAATATGCCAGGCAACTTATTAAATATATTTAATTTTCACAAATCATTTTGTCAGGTGCCCTTGATTTTCTTCATTTTACAGGTAATGAAACTGAAAAACAGTCACACAGCAAGTTAGTGTAGGGCCAGGATTTGGACCCAAAGGCAATTTGGTTCCAGAGAGCTGACATGGGAGATGGCAGACCAGAGGGAGTCAGAAAAAGCCTCTCTGCAGAGGCATCCCTTGATCTTGAACTGAGGTGGATGGATGAGAAAGAACAGCCATGGGATGGTGGAGAAGTGTGGGTTCCAGGCAGAAAGAACCATGTGTGGGAAGGTCTTGAGTCAGAATAGAACGTGGTTTGAGAAAGCACGAAAGGGAGTGTGGTGTAAGACCAGATCCAGGAGGCCAGCAAGGGCCACGTGACACTGGCCTGGACTCTGAGGGCGGTGGTGGCTGCTGAGGGTTTTGGGTAGAGGAGCCATATGCTCTGATGTACAGTTTAGAGTAAGACAATCATCTTGTGTGGCAGTTTTATGCTGGTGTTTCCCCAATGATATTTTAAGTGAAAGAAGAGTTCCATGGTCATCCCAGAAGTAAGGTAGTTTCGTTTCTTGCCTCCCTCTCTCCCGTCCTCCCTCCCTCCCTCTTTCCCTCCCTCTCTCTCTTCCTCCCTCTCTTCCTCCCTTCCTTCCTTCCTTCCTTCCTTCCTTTTCTTCCTTTCCTTACCTCCTTCCCTCCTTCCCTCCCTCCATCCCTTCCTTCCTTACCCAAGGATATGTTTATCGATTTTAGAGAGAAACATTAATCTGTTGCCTCTTATACGCACCCCGACCGGGAATCAAACCCACAGCCTAGGTATATGTCCTGACTAGGAATCAAACCTACAGCCATTTGGTGTATGGGATGATGCTGTAACCAGCTGAGCTACCCAGCCAGGGCTGTAGTTTCTTCTTGCTGCAGAACTTTTCAGACCCTGTTAATAGGTACTTGCCATTGTAATCTTAAAGCAGGAGGTGTTATATATAATATGGAATGTACCCCAAGCTCTTTTGACCTGGGAACCTCTTTTAGGATAGCATCTTGGGGAACCAGTTTTGGAGGGGTACCTACTTTGGGGAACATTGAGCATTGGTAAAGGGAGCTGGCCAGTATTCCATAGGCCAACCCAAGTCCCCATTTGGGCATCATGTACTAGTGCCTCCCTGAATGGACTTTGCCAGAACATCCATTTGCCTTTCTTGGTTTCCTAATAAAGTCAGAGGAAGCCAGAGAGCTTGGGTAGTCCACAATTTAAAGAACTGTCTCCATGATCATTAATAGGACTTGTATTTGTTCACTTAGAAAACCAGAGCCAGTCCTGGCCAGTGTGGCTCAGTGAATTGAGCCACCAACCTATGAACCAAAAGGTTGCCAGTTTGATTCCCAGTGAAGGGCACATGCCCGGGTTGCAGGCCAGGTCCCCCATTGAGGATGCTCTCCCACTGATGTTTCTCTCCCTCTCTTTCTCCCTCCCTTCCCCTTTCTCTAAAAATAAGTAAAATAAAAGTCTTTAAAAAAGAAAGGAAGGAAGGAAAGAAAAGGAAAAAGAAAACCAGAACCAGAGTAATGTTACTGTGTTTTTCTCTTCCATATTTCCTCCTTCTTACGAGATAAGAGATTCCTCTTTATTCTTGATGAAGGAACATTGTCTCTGTCCAGAGACACACTCAGGGCAGTGGTTTATAGAGATTATGGGGGTCTCTCTCTATCAGAAAACCCTAAGATACATAAAATCTCAGCTTATCTCTTCACACTGCCTGGTGGCATTTGGAGAGCTCATCAGTCTCACTAAACTATGGGTTATTGTACTTCTGTGAGTTTAGGGGGGTCCTCAAAATGTTTTATCCTCATTATATTGGTAAGTGGTTTATGACCAGTAGTTTGGGTGAAGCTTTCAGTTCCTAGTGGCTTGTGTGGAGAGTTTTTCTTCTTTGTGTTGCAAACTTGTGAAGAAGCAGGACTATGACTTGGAGTTCATTCTCCCTCTCAACCTCCCAGTTTTCTACCCACCCACCATAGACAGAAACATTTCTACTAGTTGCTTTTGCATCTTCACAGAATTCATTTATGCAAACACAGGCCAATGTGACAACATATCCTTTGTGTTTATTCTTTTTATCAAAGGTAATGAATGATTTAAAAGAGCTTGTTAAAGAGAAACCAGTAATGTAGTCCAGAGATATCCACAACCCTCACCCGCCCCAGGCTTTTTTCATTTCCTAGGACTTGGTCCAACAGCCTGGTCTTTAGGCTCTGATTTCTCAGCCACCTGGTGGGTATGAGAAGCCATTGCACCCAGTGAGCAGGATCTCCAGTACTTCATGGAGAGCTGGGCTCCCTAAAGGTGCCGCCGGTACCCACAACTCATGTGAGATCTTTTTGAGAGTCAGATCCTGATGAAGTATGCCTGGAGTGGGGCCTAGGGACTCAGCATTCCTCCTAAGCTTTCAGGTAGCGTCAGTGGTTGTCCTCCATGGGAGTACAGGGATAAGCTAAAAGCCAGCTTCTCAACCTTGGGCTCACATTGGAATCTCCTGGAGAGATTTAGAAATTACTAGTGTCTGACCCTACCCCCCAGTGACTGTGGTGTCTAATGCAGCCAAGATTAAGAAACACTGACTTAGGGCCAGAGCCACACTCTTGAATGGGAGTTTTAGAGTTGCTGCAAACACTTGCAGTAATTAATTCCTTTTATCATTTACTATAGTTCTCCTTTAAAAGAATGTGGAAAGCACTTTGGCAGGAGTCTGGGCCAACTTGCTCACTGGAAGGATGAGGAACTGGAGCCCCAGCTGGCGTGGTGACTGGCTCGACCAGGGCAGCCCCATGCCATCAGGAGCAGAGCAGTCTTGGTGCTGGCCTTCCAGTCAGGCCACTTTCAGTTTGGCCACTTCTGAATTAACTTTGCCATGGAGTTCTTGGCATTTTGATGCTGTTGCATTTTAAAATAAGAGCTAAGATGAAAGGGGACTTCCTTGTGTTGACTATTTAAATGGCTCCCCATCCCAAAATAAATACCTTGCCCAGGCATTATTAACAGAATACACTGTTTCAGCACTACTAGTGGAAGTCCCCTGAAACGTGGGGCTTCATTCCCTTGTCCAGTCATTCAGGTTGATGGTGATGAGCCCACAGTTGTTACTAATTAGCTGTGTGTGTGTTTCCTTCTTCCTCACTAATTCACTCAATGTTTAAGTGCCTTCATGTGTTCCAAGCACTATGCTGGGCTCTGCTCTTATGGTGCTGAATAAGCTATGGATTGCTCTGTCTGCAAAGAAGTAAGACAGTGATCGACAGTCATACCATAAAACCACTGAGTCTTGCAGAGTACAGGGACTGGGCAGTGTTAGTCCATGGATGGTCAGGACAGACTTCCTAAGAAAGATGATTGACTAAAAGTAAAGGGTGAGCAGAAGTTGGAGTAATAGTGTTCTGGGCAGGAGATATACTGGGCCTTATATCATGGTCTATTCTCGGAATGATCGACAGCTGAAAGCAGGGCAACTGGCAGCAGGGGGTGAAGCTGGGTGGTAGCAGCTGGAAGGCACGTGGGACCTGGCAGACCGTTATCATGAAAGTCCAGGGAAGGCATTAGAGAGCTTGCAGGAGAGGAGTGACCGAATTGGCTCTGCGTTTCAGTGATTCCCCTGATAGCGGTGTGTGTCTCAGCGCCAGAGGGAAGGGGTGTGTCCCTGTGAAAGTGTCTACGAATTGCTCTGCTGGAAGTGACTTACTGCCCTTTCCTCTCTGCAGGAAAATCCCACCAGTGCCCAGTATCACATCCCCTGTCTCTACACGTGTTCCTCACCGGACAAACTCAGTGCCGACGTCACAATGTGGGGTCAGCTGCCTGGCAGCAGCCACTGTATCTACATCCCCAGTCCTGCTCTCATCCACCTGCATCTCCCCAAACAGCAAATCGGTACCAGCTCATGGAACCACCCTAAATGCACAGCCTGCCACATCTGGAGCAATGGATCCCGTGTGCAGTATGCAATCCAGACAAGTGTGCTCCTCATCCTCGTCCCCTTCCATGCCCTCTGGCCTTTCCTCAGTCCCCTCCTCCCCTATGTCCAGGAAACCTCAGAAGTTGAAATCCAGCAAGTCTTTAAGGCCCAAGGAGTCTTCTGGTAATAGCACTAACTGTCACAACACCTGTAGCAGTACCAGTGGCACCTCAGGAAAGAAACGCAAAACCAGTTCTCCACTGTTAGTTCACTCTTCTTCCTCCTCGTCCTCCTCCTCTTCTTCTTCTCATTCCATGGAGTCTTTTAGGAAAAACTGTGTGGCTCACTCTGGGCCTCCCTACCCTTCCACGCTAACATCTTCCCATGGTATGGGCCTCAACTGTGTGGCAAATAAAGCGAACTCAGTGAGTGTCCGGCACGAGCAGTCAGGGAGGGCTGCCCCTGGAGGGAGCCCTGCTGAGTCCATCAAGAGGATGAGTGTGATGGTGAACAGCGGCGACTCGACACTTTCCCTTGGCCCATTCATCCACCAGTCCAGCGAACTGCCCATCAACTCCCATGCCAGTTACTCACACTCACACACTCCTCTAGACAAACTCATAGGAAAGAAAAGAAAGTGCTCACCCGGCTCAAGTGGCATCAGCAACAACAGCAGCAAACCCACAAAAGTTGCCAAATTGCCAGCCATGAACAATGTCCACGTGAAACATATGGGCACCAGCCCAGGGGCACAAGGACTGACGAATAGTTCCTTCCTTCATCAGGTAGGAAATGCACTGCAAGCCTTTTATGGGTTGCTACCTCCTCTCCCTTGACATCTTTTGCCAGCTTGGATGTCTGTGTGGTTGTGTTGGTTGGTTTGCCTATAAACAGATGTCCAGCTTTCTGGTATCTTAAGGAAGACTTCATGGCCATCCGAAGATAAAATAGGCTTCTCTTTGCCAAAATCTCTTATGACCTGGAGCATGTCCCTGGGTCAAGAAGCCACAACAGTGCATTTTAGCAGATAGGGCTGTGGAAACCATCCCATGTGATGACAGAATGCCTTCCCACAACCAGTGAGTGTAGTCCTGGGGGGACAACATTCATCTGTGATGTTGTTCAGGGAGGATGCACTTTCCTGGAGAGCAAGAAGAAAGCTGGGCTAAAATTCAACTGATCTAGAAAGGGATGATGTAAATTTTAAAAAGAAAGCGCTTTTAATATTTTTCCAGTGGAGAATTTTGTATTTTCTGGTTAACTCTCTTTGTATGTTTTCACCTCCCTGTTTTCCAGAGAGGCAGGAAAAACAGCATTAGTATGGGCATAGCAGAAGACTAAAACCTCCCAAGTTAACAGATTAAAAAGAAATCTGTGGTGCATTTGTACAGAAGTAGCTAAGTGGGTGTCAGATTCTTAATTAACCATGTCTTTCTCACTAATGTTGTGTCTGTCTTTCCCCCACTCCTCCATCTGTTACTGTTTTCTCCTGACCTCTCCTTTAGCTGGTTCTTTCAGCTCCCTTTGCTCTAACTTCCAGCTCATCTCTCATCTTGTTATTTCATTCATCCGGGTATCTCCTTACCTTGCTTATGAACAGGAATTTCAGCAGCATCACCCCCGAGCCCAGGTTTAAAATGTGAGACTCTTTTTGTTTGTTTGTTTGTTTTTGTCCTTCCTCAGCGCCAGAACCTAATTCAAATGCCAGGTTAGGAATTTTCAGAAAATACCAAGGAGTTTCTAAAGTGATATAATTTTCCTCTAATATCTGAGTGAATTAATACCCAGTGCCAAATGTTTGGGGAAATAATTATCCATGAATTTAAATAGCAGCTGCTTAAATTCTTTTATATGAGCCTCCAATACAAATGGGCTCTTTGTATATTGTTTGACTCTTTGAGCAGGAGGTTCCTGGACAGGTGAAAATGTGCTTTTATTTCTTGGTTTGTAATTACTGATTATATGTAGTACTTGAGAAGCATAAAAATGCATGCAAACACCACAGGAAATGATATACCTTTCCTTTAAAACTCCCTTCTGAATGTACTTTCCTGATTCTGTGTGAACCCTGCAGGAGGGCTATTCCATTGTATAGTGATGCCTACTTTGTATTGCCGAATACAGTATGCCTTCATATAGTCATGGCTGCAGACTTCACAGCCCACAGGTAACAGAAAGGAGAGGAAGAGTCTGGGCAGGCACGTTAAAGAATAACAGTGCCTATGGAAAACTGGGGAGAGGAAGCCCCATAGGCTGCTCCCACAAACTTGTTACCATTTTCAAGGAGAAACTGCAGATCCAGACTTGCCTGAGAAATCTGGCTACTTTTTAAAGCTATGTATTTTTTGATGTGTTTTGTTTTTTTAATATAATATAGCCCACACAGGGTAAGTTTAGCTTATGAGCTAATGGTTTCCCACCTCTGATTTCCACCATAGGGAGAGCTATGTCCCACTGGGACAAACAGCCTAAGTTTCCATTCTTTTCTTTAAAATTAGTTTTAACAAGTTTGTATTTGAGAATGATTTCTTCTGTGGAATGGAATACTTTTTATTATGCTGCACAAATCCTAGGGGGACCTATAGCTAGAAATCAGAGGATCTGTGAACCCCCAACAAAGTGTTGTATGTTTTACATCTGTGTCATTCACTGCAAAAGGGATCCCATAGCTTTCACCCATATCTAAAAGAGACCCATGACCCAAAAATGCTTTAAAGAATGCTGCTCTTAGAAAAGTAGGAACCCCAACTTGCTGTTCCTCATGGAACCAACTTTAAAATAGAGATAGCTGACCTGGTTGAACCTTCCTAAGCTAGGGAATGAGTGCAGTGGGACATGCTGTGAAGCCTAGATGATGGGGCTGGGGGGTCTTTCCATGGCCAGAGTTCCCTCTTCCCGAGCATGGAAATTGCTTTGGGTGTGAGTTTTCACACCTGTATGGGCTAGCACATTGACCTTGTTCAGTTCTCAATTGACAACCTGGAGTACCTTCAAGGAAAAAAAGTCAGTAAATGAAACCAAAAGGCAAATGTGAACTTTTTCTCTAAGCTAGAAACCCAGCCTGCATCTCTTCTAGACTGTTTTTTAAAACCCAGTCTTATAGAATGATTGTGAAGCAATCATTCACCAAAGCAATGAAGGCTTTTGAAAGCTAAGGCCAAATTCTTCAGCTGACTGCTTCTGGCATCACCCTGTCAGTGAAGACTTTAGAGACCTGTGGCCTTGGAATGTTCTTATTTACCATCAGGGTAGCGCAGGCAGTACACTACTGCTCACTTACCTTTTCATTGTTTCCCTACCCCCTCTTCTTTGAAAGCCAAAGACACGTCCCTGACAACTGAATATAGCACGGGGAGGAATAATCTGGACACTTTCGACGACAAGTTACACCTCCACTCAGCGCTCTGGACTCCAAGATGCCTTTGAGTCTGTTTTCCCAACCTCCTGTGGGCCTCAAGGATAGAGATCTGCCGGGCTGTTGTTTTAACCAGGATTTACCTGAAGATTGTCTGTAGCAGTGAGTATTCGTAAAGGACACTGGATCAAGTTCAGCCACCGAGAGTTGCTTCTATCAGTGTTAAAGTGGTCTGGACTGCTTGTTACCAATCTGTGAGACATTTTTGTTTTGTTTTTTAAATTGCAGTGTATCACGGAGCCACTCTTCAAGTAGATTGGCTGGGTCGAAAGAGTGTTCTGGCAAGAACATTACTATAGAATTTTCTCCCTTCCTCCTCTTTCCACCCCAGTTCTTTTTACACTGTCTTCTGCAGGTCACTGTCTGGAGTTAAGGTGTCACCCTGCTAGATAGCTGACCTAGTTGAAGCTCCCTAAACTAGGGAGTGAATGCAGTGAGACATGCTGTGAAGCCTAGGAGATAGGGCTGGGTGGTCTGTTCATGGCCAGAGTTCCCTCTCCCCGAGCATAGAAACTGCTTTGGGTGTGAGTTTTCACATCTCTATGGACTAGCCCATTGACCTTGTTCAGTTCTAGCAGGTAGGTACCTTAACTGGAGACACCTTCCAAAGGGGAGACAGGGTTCTTACCCTGAGCAGCCCTCTAGAGAAGGGAATCTGTCATTAGGTTTTTATAGCAATGTTTCAGGAATGGAATATGGGTGTTAGTGCAAGACACCCTGACAGAATAGCCTGTATTTTTCCCAGCATTTTGCAAGTCATTTGGGATAAAAAGCTGTCAAAAGTTTTAAACTTACAGACTGGTTTAAAGCTACTGATGCCCAGAGAGCAAATATACACCATTTTAGAAGCTTACTTTTCATGGCACAAAAGCGATTCTGTGTGATTTACAAAAAAGGAGAAGAAAACTAGTTTTGATAATGGAAAGCCAAAATTTTGAGGAGTGGTGGATAAAAATCACTATATGGGGAAAGATTTTTCCAAGATTTCCAAAGAGGTGGAATTTTCCTATCCTTTTAAGTCTTCATGTTAAAGAGTATGGCAGATTGGGTTAGTTGTCCTGCCCAATCCCGTTTTCAAAAAATTACTTTTGTAAAGTGAAATTATCAGGATGCAGCAGAAACTGTCGTTCACAAAGTCATTAATATACTTAAATATTTCCAAGGCACTCTCTGTACTATAACCTCCACCTCCCCTCTGAATACTGTCCTGGACTAAGGGTAAATGTCTGCTTTGAGCATTCTTTCATGTTATGTGTGTGCACTCCCGCTCCTGCCATTACAGATGTTTATTTGGTTGCCACTGGGGTAGGGAGCAGGCACCCGAGAAGGGAGGGTAGTGAATTTGTACAGGTACCCATGAAGAGATGATGGATGCACATGTAGTATTTCCCTGACATACTCTTTTTTCTTAGGATTCATGCCAGCCATCTTTCTAAGAGAGTTTTGGAGATCCTCCAGGATATTTTTTTCTAGTATTCCACCCCAAAAGAAGGAGCTTTATATGTTAAAACATCATTGCTTTAGAAAGAGTTTGGGGGTAAGTTGGAGCTTTTTAACAGGTCATTCAACTGATCACAGCTTCTCAAACAAGAACCAGGCACATATGCTTAGAAGAACACACAGAGTTGCTGAACACAGGATAAATTTCCCAGGGCTCTGGTGACCACCCTGGGCAGGGTCTAGGCAGGGCCAGTCAGTATATCCTTTCTTCCCTGCAATTCTTGGGTTACTTCAGTTTCAGGGAATTTCAAGTCAACAACAGGTGGAATGAATGAATACTTTGTTATCAGCCTAATAATGTGAATTGCTACAGAATTAATCATATGTAAGAAAACAAAAACTTTATGCAGATACTTTAGGTATAAATTGATGTAAAATACTGATTTTTTAAAAAAGAGGAGAACAGTATCTTGTGCACTTATTATGCAATCAATCAGTAAATGTTTTTAAAATGATACTGTAGGAGTGCTCAGTAAGGAAAGAAGCCTAGGTGGGCTGGTTTGGTGTAGTTTGGAGAAATCAGTCTGGTTGTTCCATCCCAATGGATGAAGAGGAGGAGGTAAGAGGGAATCAGAACGTATTCAGTTGATTCCTTGGTGACAAGTGCAATGGGGTATGGGTAGAATTTATTTTCAGAGCTAAGGGGAATTGATGGTTATAAATGAAGTTGCTTTTAGCGATGGAATTTATAGACAGATCATGTTGCTCCGAAAGATGTGAATAGGATCCACAATAGCAAGTTGGTTTAGAATAATGTAGCTGTATCAAGATTAGAGGTGTTGATTATTTAATTTCGTAGACTGAGGTTTTAATTGGATTTTATTATGTCTCCCGGTAGTACAAAAAGCATCGGGATTAGGAAATTAGCCATTTTGGATTCTGCCTGCCACAAACAGACATTCTAAACAGTGCTATTAAATTTTAGACTGTTTAAATATTTTATTTTCTCCTACAACTACTTTTTATTATGATGGACAATTAAGACCATTTAAAACATGGGAATACAAGTATTTTTTTTAATTAAATTAACTTGCAAAAACCAAATTTGCAGTGGTTAGGTTGTTTCTAGACAGACTTTGGTATCAATTTAAAACCAAGATAATTTTTATATTCTTTCCAATAGAATTTCATGACAACTCCTGCAGTTTTCTTAACCTTAAAAACAAAGTGCTGCAATGATGAACAAAGAATTATAGAAAACCTACTTTTGTACCTTTATTTTGGAATTTCTTGTTCTATTATAAATATGGAAGTATCCCTATCTCAGAAGACATATTTTGTTAAAAATGAATTGTACATATTTAAATATGTATTTTTGCACAGGTCTTTTTTTCTGATATCCTGTTTTGGTACAATTGAGATCATCTAGTATTTATTTATTAATTAATGAAAGTAAATACCTTTTTATAATTTGAAGTGGTTCACTGCCAAGCCAATAGTTCTAGAACCTGCCTCCTTTACAGTTTAAGGGATGCCTCTGTTCTGTGAAAGTCTTTTTTGTCCCTTTAGCGTCTCGGGAGTGGATTCATGCAGATGAAGTGGGCATTGCTTCTCCCTAGTTGCCTGGTTTCTTGATAGACAGCATGTAACTAAGTGACACACTGCTTTTCTTTTGTTTTATGTGAGAGAGTGTATGTGTGTGCGCCTATGTGTTTGTATGTGTACCCTCTGAGCACATGTGTGTTGGTATGTGATGTGGTTTAAAACTAATGGAAAAAAACTGAAAGTGCCTAAACCTAATTTTAAGCATAGACAGATTCTCTTAAAAAAGACTTGAATGTTCAGTTGAACTTTTGGAGTTTGTTTTTTCCACCTAAATACTGTTTCTAAAAATTTAGGGAAGGAGTTGAAAACCACCAATGCTAATAATTTTATAAGTTGTTTTAAAATTAAGGCTTTTTGGTTCATAGTAATTCAGATGGTGGTGGATTGCCCAGTGGCACCAAGGGTTACAAATCTTTTTGTCATCCAGCAGCTTACATGATGTTTTCCGTTTTGTTATCCTCTCATAAAATATTCAATTTAAAATCAAATATTTAAAGTTTTTGTATTCCAAAAATATAATACAAAGTACCTCTGAGAACATTGAAAAAAATGTATAATTTGAAAATGTAATTTATAAAGGCAGCTGTCTTCCTGCAAGAGTTCTGTTGCCAAGGAATTTCTTAATATCTCTCATTCTGTCCTGGGGAAAATGTTGAACTTTGGAAAATGATTATTAAAAGTTTCATTGTTTAGAAGAAAATAATGATTTTTACATGTTGTGTGAAACATTTTACATTTTCAGATGATTTAAATGAGCACTACATACTGTCAGTGTGAATGTAGGGGCTTGAAAGCATTTTGCTGTTTTTTTGTTTTGTTCGTTTTTTGAGCTTGGTTATAAAAGCAATCTCCTGTGTTAAAGTGTGTGAATAGTTTGATAATTTGTACACATAATCAAGAGCATCTCAGCTGGACTTTGTGTTGGCTGCTGTATAGAACATGAACAAATGTCAAGGGATAGAAAATTACTTTGGATATTTAAAAGAGAAGAAATATATAGTCTATTTGTTTTGTAACAAGTTTCTGTAAATAAAATAATTTATACTATTTATAAGAAAAAGTTGTGCTTTGCTTTATGAGAAATTAGTCTGTGGAAGAAACATGTTACTAAACGGGCAATAAAATTAGGACTTCTCAATAAATAAGGTTGGCTGCATTGAACTATTTTACATGTTTCTGCCTCGTTGTGATTCCAAGCCCCTTTTGATCTAATCTTTTATTCATTTTTGTCATCAGACAGCCTTGTGAAGCACCTTCCTTTAGTTCCCTTTCCCTAAAAGCTAGGTGTTCCTACGGGCCTAGGATGTTCCCATTCTTGGGCATGGATCTTTGCCCTGGATAAATTAATAACTATAAATAGCGAACACTACTGCTTCTTGCCCTGCAGGTTTGTCAACACAGGGGAGTTGAGAGATTGAGAAACACATTGTACTTGTACTTGTTTATATGTAAATTTGATGGCACATGGTCAGTTTGGATTTAGAGGTGAGTTTTTATCCAGTGTTAGTCTGGTCTCTTCCTTGTTTTTACATATCTTTTTTATTGACAGCACAAATGCATTTTAGCATTATTCAGAGCAGAGCATACTGTTATTTCTAGAAATTTGGCCAGTTTTATCATTGGCAAATAATTCTAATAAATTACAAATTATTTTTATTGCTTAAAATAAAGGGAGCAACTAATTTATGTATTGGAAAAAATATCCATCCCTTACATGAAGGAGTTAGGCCGGCTCCAAGCTTACTTGCCCCATGGACTTCTCATTCCCTCCTAGACCAATTACTCAAATCCCTTCCCGAAGAAGCTCCCTGTGGATAGCTCCTTTCCCCTTGGGTGCCCCCCTTAAACTTCCTGGGAATAGATTCAGCTACTTAATTGCTTAGCCTTTTTTCTTGCATTCCCTTCCTGGCAGGTGACCTGACCATGGAAAGCAAGAAACTATCCCAATTCAAGGAAGGGGGTTTGTAGTTTTGGATCTTGGTGTATTGGGAATTCATAGTGGAAAGGTAAGTAAGGTCATTCTAGGCAGAGGAAGCAAACCCCAAAATGCAGAATAGAGAATAATTCTGAGTGAAGTGTAGCTGGGAGGGGCAGATAGGGTTGCAGAAATGGGTGCCAGATAGTGAAAGGCCTTAAATGTCATGGGGCCTTCATCTTGGGAACATACAGTTTAACCAAATTTAACTGTTAGAGCCTAGAGATTCTTGTGATACAGGCCCTGTGTTGTGGTGAAGCTGCCAAAATTGGAAAATCAAAGAAGCACTTCAGTCTCTCCCTTCTTCTTGCATTTTGATTATCTCTTGCCTTAAATTTGTCTTTACCCTTGTCTCTCTCAAATCCAAATCACAAAGCTTCCCCCTAAACCAAGCCTAAGGTCCTCCCCCTTCTTACCCCACTTTCTACTCTTGCAGTTACCTTTTTATGCTAAACTCTCACTCTTGTTACTAATGGGAGTTAAATTAGTCTTTCACCTTGTAAGGCTGTGATTTTTGGTGTCTGTTACTCTTATTTTTCACAGCCCAGGGACCAAAGCTGGCACTAGCAAAGTATCACTTAGAGACTGTCAGCCAAAGAAAGATTTTAGGTGGAAGGAGAGAATCACACACTTACAATGTAATACTTTTTTAAAATCCCCATCACATAAGACCCTTCAATAACTGTGTAGGACAGAATCTACATGTAAGAAACTTGGAACAAAAGTAAGTCACAAAGCTGTTGTAATAATCTGGGTAGAAGTTTGTAAGATTCCAAAACTAAGGTGGTGATCATGCGGATGAAGAGGGGACCGGCTGCAGAGATCTTTTAAAGGTAGAACCAATAGGCCTTAAGGTCTAATCATGTTAAATATTAAATGGAAGAGTGAGTCTCAAAGATGATATACAGATTTCTATCTTGACCAAACTGGTTGATTGATGAGCTTTAAGTGAAATATATGATATGGTGACCAGGAAGGAAAAAACAATGAAATTGAGTTACTGGTGGGAAATTGAAGTTTAGTAGACAGTGACTGTATGTACAGTCTTGATGGAGCTCTAGAGGCAGGTTTGAAGCTGTAAAACAATTAGTGGGTTGTCTTTTCACTTTTAGATGGAAGTGAATGAGTTCACAAAGGTAGCTATTAGTAGCTATTAGATTTGGCTTATTATTATGTTAAAAATAATGCTTATCTAATTGAGTCCCTATTGTACAAAGCATTTTACATAATGCTAGTAGGTAGCATTACCAGGCTGTGAATTCTGATCTGACATATCATTGGCTCTTAACCTTCTAATTTTTTTTATTTTTTTAAAGATTTATTTGTTTTTAGAGAGAGAAGAAGGGAGGGCGAAGGAGAGGGAGAGAAGCATCAATGTGTGGTTGTCCCTCACATGTCCCCCACCGGGTACCTGGCCCACAACCCAGAAATGTGCCCTGACTGGGAATCAAAGGTTGGCAGCCCATGCCCAATCCACTGAGCTACACCAGCCAAGACAGCTCAACCTTTTTAGAATTCTCCTCAATGTTTAATCAAGTAGGGACAAATCCCCACTTTGAAAAAAAAGAATCTGCAAATGCCCTGGCCAAGTGGCTTTTTTGTAGCATTGCCCCAGACACCACAGGTCACAGGTTTCCTTCCCAGTCAGGGCACATACCTAGGTTGTGGGTGCCATGTCTTCGGGGCATGTTTGGGAGGAAACCAACTGGCTCTCTCTCCCCCGCCCCCCTCCACCCCTTCCTTTTCTCTCTAAAGTCAGAACCATATCCTAGGGGGAGGATTTTTTTTTTTAAACGTACAGTTTGAAGGGCAGAGGGAACAATTGAGGAGGAAGCTTAATATTCACCCCTTGCCCATAGGTTTTCCAAACCTGTTGTAGGTTGACTAAAATGTTCTGAATGTACAATTTTAAAGTCAGGTCTCTTTATACAAGGAAACTAATGGCATTCTTAACTAGTGAAGAATTACGGCTGAAAAGCCTATTCTTTTAAGTCCCAAACTTGGTCCAAGAAAACATAATCTGATTGTAGGAACTGACAAGTCAATCCCAAGTTCCACTTACAATACCCCTGCCCTGTTGGCTCTATGTTTCCATTTTCTTCCTTGAGAAAAGGATGATACATGGTCCAAGGTGGAGAGCCCAGGCTTACATCTTTCCCCTAATGTATAATATTCCTCCTCCTGTACCACTGAATTGCTACTTGATGAGCAGAAGTCAAGTGTACAAGGCTTATCTGTGTTGATCATTCACAAGAAAACCTTTTTTTTTCTGTCACAGATTCTGAGAATCACATCAAAGAAGTGGATTCTCTCCAACAAAGGCATGTAACAGAAAAGCCCCACCTCTGACTTCGTCTTGTTCAAGTCTGCTTTTTTCCCACAGCCTTCAGGTTAATAGCTCCTGCTTGGTCTCACATACACACATGCTAATCATTCTGTTAGTGGCTTAAGTTTTACAGGAACAGTCCTTTACTAGTAAGTGCCTCTCCTAAGGAGATAAGGGAAGTATGTTAAAAAATAATGATTGTTTATCAAAGATTTGCAGGAACCTTGTGACAGAGTTAGAGTCAGCCGACTGAGAACAAAGTTTCACAATCTTGCTCAGAACCCCTGCGGGCACCCAGATGTCTGTGACATCAATTTACCTCTTGTCCCTCCCCTTTACCCCTTCCATTGACATAAAAGGAACCTGAATTTCTGTATTTTCTTAAAATGATTCTTTTGGATACCTGTCCTCCATCTTCTTGGCTTGCTGGCTTTCTGAATAAAGTTGCTTTCCCTTCCCCACAATGTTCCTGTGCCTGTGCCCCAGCACATTGTCAGCACAGGCACAGGCACCACATTTTATCTTTCATTTCCAGGATTTTACAAACTTAAAGCCTATCCTCCATGGCCCAGAGAGAGGAAAGCCCAAAATGAAAGCCTGAAGAAGAGAGTTTTTGGGTGAAGACAGATAAGAGAACCAGTATAAAGAGTGAAAATCACATCAGGGATAGAGTTAAGATGGTTTAGTTAGAAGTTGAGACAACTGACTCCATCATAATTATCAACCCATCAGCCCACTTAGGTAATAGGTTTGGTTTTGTTTTTTGTCCTGCTTTCCCCAGGATAATTGGAACAGCAGATATTGGTTGAATGGAAAAGTTATAAGAACTTATGTAGGAAGATTGTCAAAAATTAAAGAGTATGTGTGAGGGTGTGGCTAAGTGATGGGGTGATGGCCTAATGTGGATATTCAAGGAGTGGACTGGAAGCTGCTGTGTCAGATCTAGGCAGGGTCTCTGAAGACCAGTCTTGTGATCCTTTTTCCAGGTGACTTGTATATGATTAGACAAGTCACGTGATTTGTTCAAGGTCATGGACAAAGTCCAAGTTCAACTTAATATGGCCCGTATTGAAGAGGGGTTAACATATGAGGTGGATCTAGGCACCAGCATCATGACAGCGGCATAGCACTTTTAGGAACAGGTCAAGGGACAAAATGGGTATAGGGTCAAGAGTGGCCAATGACCAGGAGAGGAAACTGCTCCTTCTTGGCCCAAAGTTCCTGAGGTGTGTATGAACAAACAGCCTCTAACCTAGAGGGTTTTGAGAGAAGCAGAATCCTCAAAAACCAAATATTTAGTTTTATCAGCATTGATACTCCAGTAATTGCACACACTTGGAGAAAAGGTCTCTGGTAACCTCTAAGAGAGTTGTCGAAGTTGTCAAGGTACCACCTACTGGCAGTCTTGGCTAAGTGGTCAGTTCCCCAAGCAGTCTCACATTTATGATACATGATAGGTGAATTGAAGGCTGATCATTTACTGACAAATTGTCCCTTTTACTTTTTACATCCAATCTGTACAAGGAAACTTATGCCATTATGAGAGATTTCTGATGATTAGGAGTAAGCCCCTCCCACTTGACCAAGTATTTCAAGCTTACAGTATCCTGGACCAAACTGCTACAAATTCTTGATATCTTTTGTAGGTCTTCAGAAACACAAGAATAATGCAAACCTGTGGCTCTATGGCTTTCAAACCCGAACCATGATTATTAGAGCTTTTCCTACTTTCCATATAGGGTTTCAAACTTCACTCTTCCATTGCTATTAGGGAGGTATTGAGGTTTGTTACTAACAACCGTGAGTTTGATAGCATTAAGTGAGGGATTATCATAGCCCCT